AGGGAAGGAGAGATCAAGATGTCAAAAGGGAGGCAGGAGAGCAGCCATGGCTTGGAGCAAGGGGCAGATGTGGCTGGAGGGACCTCTTCCTCAAACACCAGCACAATCATTCTAATCTCATCCTGCATACGTTATGCTTTCCAGTGGAGGAACCATGGGAAAAATCTTCTCCCATACTCACTAATTAATGCATTAATTAATACACTACATTAAAGTAATTTGGGAGTTCTCCTGGCAGCAAGAAATTCTCTCTGCTCAGAACCTGCCTTTAAAAGCACATTTTACTGCCTTTAGAAAAACACAAGATTCGGAGACCAGAGCCCTTGGAGCTGGGGGGGGGACTCCAGCCCAGCTCATCTGACCCCTGGTGCTTTCACTCTCTCTCCGATTCGCACACTGCTCTTTCTCAAGAAGCTACAGCAAAAGCTACCGTAGAAAATTCCTAACAACCACTTGATTAGTTACAAGATGAATAACGCCCTCCGCAGCTGCTGCACAGGTAATGGACCTTGGTCAACCCTACAACACGTCCCACGCAGCTTCTCCAACGACCAGTTGCTCCGGCAGTGCTGCGCGAGGTGCTTGGAAGGATGCGAGGCCACTCCCTGAGAAGCGCTGAGGACACCAGTGGGACTGGGGCTATGTAACTGCTTGCCACACTGGAAACTTGGAAGCAAGACAGATTCCCACTTACCTCCTCCACTCCTAAGGCAAGGGGTTCTGCCTCCACGTAGTGCCTCAGCTCCTTGATCCTCACTGAGCTCTGAGTCTCCACAGCACCTCCCAGCTCTGCAGCAGTGGATGGAAACCGCTGGAAAACAAATACCATGGGCTGCAGTCAGCAGCTGGCTGGGCTGGGTGAGACCGCTCTGCTCAGGCTTCACCACCTCACCAAGCCAGGAGCAGCCGAGGTAGGACCTGGGCGCAAATCAGGCAGGGGTATGTCCATGCCATCAGTTGAGTGGGGGTCCAAGCCCCCCACTCAGGTGAGACACATGCCTCATCTGCACTTCCTACAGGCAAGCTCGCACGAGGAAGATGGGTGCACCCAGCACTCAGTCCTGGCAGAGACCTCAAGGGCATTTTGCACCCTCGTGCCAGCTCAGCTTCGCTCACCCCTGCTCAAGCAACACGCCAAGAACCCCACACCTGGACAAGGTTAGGCTTTTCATGACAAAAAAAAGCAACATAGCTGTGAGATGGACAAAAACAGGAAAATAAGGAGTTAGAAAGTGCTGGGCACCACTATCCCATTTCAGATGGTGCTTAGGTTCCATCTCGTGCACTCATCAGTGCCAAAGAGCTGAGAATCTATGCCGCCGTGTTCTAGTTGAATGACACCTTCCTGAGAAGGCAGCTGAGATGTTTTTCTGTCTTGCAGCAGCTGAGAGCTGTGTTTAACCTCAGAGGTGCCATCTTTCACAAGGAATCTTGTTGCTGGACTTCCGACCCCTGTTTATGAACAAGGGCTCTAGGATTGCTCTTAGCCTTCGAGAATACCTGCTCCTTGCTAATGGGAAGAAGCGCTTTGTGCCATGACCTTGACTTCAGCAGAATCTTCAAGAACATTTACAGGACATCCTTAGACCTAACTAGAGGCTACATCTCCCGAGGAGATAAGGCACCGGCGAGGAAAGAGTTCTCTCACCTTTCCATGGTCCTTCTGTTGTCTCCTCATTTTCAAACCTAGCAAAGCTTTGCCAAGTGCGTATTCCCAACGATGCTAGCCCACATCTTTCCTAGGCCTATGGTCTCCCACCTCCCCAGGGAGGTTATATGGATATTGCCTTGATGCATGGACACACGCAGAAGATGAAACTGCAATGCAGACATATCCTTTGAAGCAATTTCGCATCCTGCTTAGCCATGGCCACTTGTATTTCCCTGGTTTATTTGCACATATATGGCAACAACGCAGGAAATTAAGACGATTTCATGCTTCTAACCAAAAACACTCAGCCACGCTATTCTTTACATCTACAGGGTATCATTTCTCCCGATTCAGACAAAAGGTGTAGAGTTAAAACATTACCAGTGCTGACATTTGGATGTGAGCAGGTGAAACCCCTCTCCTTAAACTTCATGCCAATGCTGGCACTTTCAGAACCTCTCATGCTCTCTCTTACACCTTTTTGTATCGCCCCTGGAGCAGCCTCTGGCCCACACGACACAGAACAAGGGGCCAGCTCCCACTAGCACCAAGGTCAAGCTCCAAAGCACCGTGGTTCACCACGGAGGCTAGCAGACCAAAGGCCATTTTCACAGAATCACAGGATAGTAGGGGTTGGAAGGGACCTCTGGGGATCATCTAGTCCAACCCCCCTGCTGAAGCAGGGTCACCCAGAGCAGGCTGCACAGGACCTTGTCCAGGCGGGTCTTGAATATCTCCAGAGAAGGAGACTCCACAACCTCCCTGGGCAGCCTGTGCCAGTGCTCCGTCACCCTCAGAGGGAAGAAGTTCTTCCTCATGTTCAGACGGAACTTCCTGTGCTTCAGTTTGTGCCCATTGCCCCTTGTCCTGTACCTGGGCACTACTGAAAAGAGTTTGGCCCCATCCTCCTGACACCCACCCTTCAGATATGTGAAGCTCAGTGCTTGGCACGGCTCGACACAGGAAACTAAAAGCCTTCGCATCACGATGCAGATAACAGCCTCATTTTACATTGTAAAAGAACAAGTGAAAAAAATCCCCCACTCACCATAAGTCAGGAGGACCTGAGTGGGCTTCTCTAAGCAAAACTCTCCTACTTCTCCCTCCCCAGAAGCCCCGTGTCCAGCCTGCTCTCAGGGCACATGACAGCACAGCAGCAAAACCGGTGCTCGGCACCAGCACGGCTTTTCCGTGGCAAGCTGGGGGAGGCAATGCAAACAGCAGGTGCAGAAGAAAAATCTACCTGTGCCTCCAAGGAGTCATCTGCTGGCTCTCGGGCAGGATCCCCCGCTGCTCCTGGGGCTTCGGCTGGCTCCTCCGTACCCCCGTCACTGGAGCTGCTCTCTGCAGATGCCGAGCGCTCTGACCTTGGCACGGCTCGACACAGGAAACTAAAAGCCTTCGCATCACGATGCAGATAACAGCCTCATTTTACATTGTAAAAGAACAAGTGAAAAAAATCCCCCACTCACCATAAGTCAGGAGGACCTGAGTGGGCTTCTCTAAGCAAAACTCTCCTACTTCTCCCTCCCCAGAAGCCCCGTGTCCAGCCTGCTCTCAGGGCACATGACAGCACAGCAGCAAAACCGGTGCTCGGGCTGGAACAGCGGCGGTGCAGTCAGCTGGCTGCAAGGAGACACGGAAGAGGACAGAGGCGAGCGGGCCTTGCAGGAAGGCAGAAGGTGCTGCGGGAAAGGAAGAGACACACAAACTGGGCAAAACAGTGAGACTGAGGTGCAAAGGGACAGACCCAATGAACCAGTTCAGACCCACCAGGGCCTTCCTGAGAGCACTCTGGATGCTATCCCCATCCAGAGGCACAAAGTGAGAAATCTTGCAGCTCTACTAGATATTTATCCTGAATATTTCCCCTAACGATTCCCTGCAGCTGCAGGTTGGCACGAGCAAGTGGTGACGCTTTCTCTAAGCGCCACGAGGCAGAGCAGGGATGGAGCCCGCAGCCTGCCGTGCCCTGACCCCGGCAGAGCCCAGCACCGCGCAGGGGGACCCGCGGAGCCCATCTAGGGGCATCCTCGCACACACAAGGCAACACGGAAAGATGCACCCAACAGTTCCATGTGGAGACTTACAATTAAACGGTCCATTGATCCCTGACGAGCGCCAAAGCATCAGTGATTAGCGCTCCGGGGAAGGAAGTTTCAGTCATTTTTAATCAATATACTGCAAATGTCAATGAGAAGATTCAGCTCCCTGCTGCGCCACAGGTATTCCCCGGTCGCAAAGCAACGGCTCCAGCAGCCCCTCACGCTAAAAGGGCGGCAGCTCTGCTGAAACCAGGTTCGAGCCAATGCGCACTTGCCAACAGCGTGATCGCCTCCCCAGCAGCCGCTGAATGCAAACCGCTCGAGGACCAATTTGGCAAATGATTCAGCACAGCCGTTCAACAGCTCATTTCATGAAAAGAGCTGAGTTTATGGAGTTTGACCGACATCTGCCACTAAAAAGTATATGGTTTAACATTCGCAAATGTTCCCGGTGACTGATTACGTTCCCTGTTCTAAATTGTAGCCAGTGCTCCCAGTAACGCTGCTCATATTTCTAATGCCACACGGAGGGACGCGCTCGAGCCCTGCCTGCCTGTCACCGTGCCTGTTGGCAAGCGGTCCCCACCGGCAAACCGGGCAGAATCATTTACAGCAACCAGGATGCTTCATTCCCAGCTCGGAATTTAGTGCCTTTAATGACACGCTCCCAAATGAACATTTGTCTTTCGCTTTGTGGCTTATTATCTGGTTTTCATTTCTGGATTCGAGGCTTTGCTCTTCATAGCCCCCAAGAGATCCCACCTGACTTGTCCTTCCTACCACCACATGCAAGAACAAGGCTTGGCCCAGGAGAGCTCCTCTGCAGCCCTCCCTCTGCCTGCTGCTGGGACTCCTCGGGGGACCCCGAGCAAGACCTCGGCACCACCCACATGCAAGAACAAACCAGGACTGGAAAGGACAAAGGCATTCGCTTGCCCCTGCAGAGCATGGCCCGTCTCCAGTCTCATCTGTGCAGCCTTCACTCCTCTCCACCGAGGCACCTCTGTATGTGTTGGGGTGTGCTGATGGGCGACCAAACCACCCAACACCTCTGGCAGCCACTAACATGGGTGCCTGCGTAAGGATGCCATAAATTCATCTCGGCTGCAACAACGGTGCCTCGGGCAGCTGAAGGTGACCTGACCCTGGCGACAGGGGCCATGCCCGCAGTGTAGGGGTGCAAATCTCCAGGGCCAGGAGCACCTCAAAGCCCTCCAGCTCCGCACAGTCCACGCACTGGGGCAGTGCAGAGGGCTGGCTGTCCTGAAACTGCGAGCTGCGATCCATCCCAGCGAGAAAATGAAACTGCGGCTCTTGGAGCCGCTTGTGATAAATACTGAGGATTAATAACAACTCCAGAGGAGAGATAAACTCCAGAGATGGAAAATCCATAAGCATTTATTAAATTACCTTTAGTTTTATAGAATGGTTTGAGGCAACTTCACGGGACTGCGATGTTTAGACAATAACAATATTTTTCACTCTAAAGTAGAAGCCCTCTGGGACCCGGTGCTGGGAGATGATGTGATTAGCAAGTCCTGCCGCGGAGAAGCACAAAGCACAGCAAGGGAATTCTTCCACTGGGGGAAGTCAAAATGAATAACAAGCGTAACGTGAAAAGAAAGGGAGCAAGGAACCCAAGGTGTCAATAGAAAGCTGACCCCTGGGACAAGAAACCTCCCTGGCGTTGAAGGAAAGGGGATTATCTCAGAAAAGGAGAAGGAAGGGGAAGATAACAAGATCACACAGAATCACAGAATGGTGGGGGTTGGCAGGGCCCTCTGTGGGTCACCCAGTCCAAGCCCCCTGCCCAAGCAGGGTCACCCAGAGCAGGGGGCACAGCACCGCGTCCAGCCGGGGCTGGAATATCTCCAGAGAAGGAGAC